TCATCGCTTCCAACCTGTATAACCAATAGTGGACAGTGATCAGAGGGCTGTACGAGACCAGGGAGCTGGCTGGAGAAATATTTACTCTTTGAAAGATCAGAAGTAGGAGTTACATAGTGTTGTAAGAAATTCTGCTTGTTGCTTGATTTAACTGCAGACTTCGGGATTCAAACCTGTAGGCTTAGGTGTTTGACTTTGCACATTGGTAGTGACTTATTTTACTGGTAGTCTAGTTAGCTTCAGATATAAACTAAATGTTAATAACCATTGCTGTATTAAAGTGTGAACATTTTACACTAAATTAACATGACAGATGGTAAAAAAAATTCAACTTAGCCTTTTAGGCCTTGTTCTTCCATCAGTAATAATAATAGAATAGGTATATTTGTGGATTAAAAAATACTTACATGAAACACAGCTGTTAAAGCTTTGAACTGAATAGTAGAATGAAATTAGCAAACATCAGTTTTAATCTAATTGTAGTACAAACTGCTGCAAGTTCCAGTAACATTCATCCACTGAAGTATAATCTAACTCTTCTAACAGAGTAAAATTCAAGCTTATGCAGATGGCTCCCACATGGCCGACGCCTCATTTAAATCCCTCTTAATCCCTCTTTCGAGAATTCCCATTGGATTTATGCAGTACATGGTCCTTGTAGTGACCTTCTGCCTATAGTGAATTTCATTCTGTGCTGCCATTTTGTTTATATTGCTACTTTAAACTGCAGTATGTTCACCAAGTTAACTCTATATGCTGGCATAAATCAATCTCAGACTCTCATTCAAAGCTGGGAATACTGTTACTTTTACCTTGTTCTTCTTCCTCTTGCGGCGGAATCGCAGAAGTTCTTTATGCTGTCTTGATACAAAGTTAACCGCTGCATACTCCAAAAGCGCAGAAAATACAAAGAGCAGACACACAGCCATCCAGATGTCAATCGCTTTGACATATGACACCTATGGAGAGAACAGAGCAGAAGACTGAATATGTTAAAACCACAGATGTGAAGTTTAGTATTTCACGTCAGGAGGAAGTGCATTAGTATTTCCACATCCCGACACTACTTTTATCATACAAAACTTAACATGAAACGTAGGTAGTAAGAGGACAACAATTCAATCTGCAAGCATTAAATATTATTTCTTAAAAAGTAGTCTTTTGCATATTGTTTACTGTTTATGTCATTAACAGTTCCTCATAGTGTACTGTGTAATTTATCACAAACCAAATAATCCACAAGAAGCACTTGCTCTTCCTCCATTTGTCCCACTGAGATCTGTGAATGACACTAAGGATCCAGAGAATAGCTTTATAGTGGGACCAATGGGAATTCCTGTAGTATAATAGATCTGATTTAAATTTCCTGGAATGGAAATTGGGTAGAAGAAGGGAGATTAATGTAGAACGCTGATATGTTAATTCTCTGCTAATATAGGCATGGTAAATCAAAGATATAGGTTCATATTAGTCCTGTAATTTTGCCACTGTGGAAGTACTGACAATCAATTACAGTAGATGAACTCGTTGCAATCCTTTATTGCCAAACTCAGCCGCAAGACATAATCTGAACTAGGAAAGTAGGGCTTGTTACCTCTCTGTGTGCAGATTTATAAGAGTTTTTTCATATAAGCCAGCACAGCTAGCTTCAGACCTCAAAAATGTGACAAAAAACATCTATAGCTCTCTTTGGTAACATCTCACATTCTTGCTTTTCTGAGTTTTTGTAGCATTCCATTTTCTTATCTGTTCATAGTACATTCGGATGCCTTTGGATCCATATATTTGAGGCACAAAACACACTCACCTTTGTTAGTGTTATCTATTTTACTTAAAAAAAAAAAAATTAACCAACCTAGAATACCCTGCTAAAACTAATACATAAATGGACTTTGTGTATTTTTATTGTATACATTTTCTTTCTATTAAATGCAATGACACATTAAGATGGTCAAGGAATAACCCTTAAAATGAAAAAGAAAATATTTAAAGCAATGCCCAGTCAGAAAGCTTAAATAGCTAATAATAGGAATATAAGCTATTTATACTTTGTAGTGAACCATTCTTTATATATGGTGACTCAGAAAACTCCTAAATATTTCAAAGTCCTTTATCTCCTTTGGCTTAAATGCTAATAACTAAAACACATTATAAGGTTGACTGAAGATGTTTATTTGTCACATAGCATTACGACTTTGTACTAGTGTGGTACAAAGAAAGGAAATTCTGCCTACCTTTGGAAGAGATGCTCGTGAACCTGAGCTTTGTGTTGTCATGGTCAGTACCGTTGTTATCCCCAAAGCCACTCTGGCTGGAGCTGCATCCATATTGATCCAAAATGACACCCAGGAGAGAATGACGATCAAGAGACTTGGTATGTACATCTGGATGAGATAGTAACCCATCTGCCTCTCAAGGTGAAATCGGACTTCAATACAGGTAAACTTTCCTTTTTATAACAAAGAAGAAATATTCAATAGAAACAGAATGTTCTTTACTGTCAACATCCAGTGCACACTCTAAAGAATTTACACTTTGTCAAATATATTTGTTCTCTAATGAAAGATTAATGTTTTGATTTCTCTCATTGATTTTTAATATGCACAGTCCCCACTACAACAGGAATATCTACTGGAAAGAAAGGGGACAGAAAAACTGAAAATTCAAGCATTTGATAACGTCTGGAACTCTTCTTACTTTATAAAAAACAAACCACATTCATTATGACATAGGCAAGTTTCTCTGTTTGATCACACTTGGTTTTCCACTTATTGCTTGGAAATACCGCTATATGCAAAGAAAAGGCTTGCTCTTCCATTGTATAAAATCTTCTTTATCTTTTGGTTCAATTTTAAGCTTAATTTTTGTTTAATCCAATTAATTTGTGAAAAATATTATGAGATCAGCATGGACATTAGGTTATCAATCGGAGATTCTGCTAAATCTCTCCCTTTATCCCCATTCAAACTGTTCCAACTCAGAAGTACAATGACCAGGATTTAAACAGAAACTGAGGACTTGAGATTAGGCAACTTTAAGAAGCTAATGAAATGGTCTATTTTTCCAGATACTAAACATCAAGAAACTTCCAATGATTTAACAAACCAGAACAAAAAATCGATTGTTTGCTCTTAGAAATTACATAAACCCATTTTTTTCTCTTATCCTTTTTTTTTTTCTTTTTTTTTTTTTTTTTTTTCCCTCAATCTGTAAAATGGAGAGATTATTTCAGATCTCGACTTGGTCTCATTATATTTTCTAATTCTGCTCAGTGGTCGTATTAGTCACCTGTGAATAGTGCTGAAAGCAATGCTGTTACTGTAAGTAGTGTATAAGACAGTTTCTCTCAGCAAGAAATATACATACCTCAGATTTCTTCCTTATTTGAATGAAAACGTTTCCTAATTCTAAGTTTAATATGGAAAGCTATATAGTTATTTGTTTCTTAGGTGGTATGAAGTTTTTTTATTATGTTTTCCCATAGTTTTTGATAGATATTTTTCCTAATCAATTTTTATTTCACAAATGCCATTTTATAGCACATTGTTCCACATCAACAGTCCTTTAATATTTATCATATTAACAAAATTTATTAATGAGCTTATCCTATACTAATTTAATACATTGTGTATTATGCTGTGACAGTAGTGTTAGGCATACAGAAATGAGTTTCAGATAAAGTAAAACTGAAATGTTTTTATTCTAGGCTTATTAAGTGCTTGGAAATATTTTCTGAACTCCATTATTTTAATAATAATTCTCTTAACAGGCCATTATTTTTTTCTATGGTATCATAGTAAATGTTATTGTGTGAAAGTTTTATTCTGCTAAGGCACTACAAATATTTAGAAAGACAGTAGTTATAATGTTAAGTTTTAAAATTACATCATATATCTCAGGAGTCTTATATCTACCGGCTCAATTATTCCATTCCTAATTGCTGGTGTTTTCTCAATCCTATCTACACTCCTGAAATCTGTGTCCCAAATCCTGGCTCAACCATCTGCTGCCCCAGCTTCAAAACTGAGTTCTGCTTCAATCAAGGGACAAAGTCCTGGTTTCATGAAGTGAATGGGAATTTTGGTGTTTACTTCAGAAAAGGCCAGGATTTTCCCCTGTCTTTCTCTTCCAGGATCTTTGAAAGGGTACCTACACAATGCATTCTTTTGCTTAGCAGTTCTGCACTCACTGTTCTTTGTCAGAATCATATTCTTTCTTCAAACTGGTCTTTACCCTGAAGATTTCTTTTCTGTTACATTTGTTCTGTTAATTCAGCAGCCTTGGACAGCAGCAGTCTATCTCTCATATGTCACGGTAAATCATAGTGGTAAGGAGTGACAGAAATACGTCAACCAAATCTAGGTCTCTTGCAAAGCCATTTTATTTGGCATCACATAATCAAGAATTACAGTTCAGCATCAACATTTTCTTCTTACAGGGTCCTATATTCTTCTTTCAAAGCAAATTAGGAAGGAAAACTGAAGAGCATCAGAATGTGTATTACATGCCAGACTGGTGCGTCAGTGAACATTGGCTATTGCTTGTCCTGCCAGAGAAAGGCGGGACAAGAGATCTGAGTCTCTTTGCTGAGTACTGAAGTGGGTTTGAATTATTACAGAGCTCTCAGCACAAAAATACCACGGTCCTAAACAGGGAGCAATAAATAATTTGCCACATTTGTCTGAACTAAGGATAAAGAGAGGAATAGCTGTGGACAACAGAACACTAACAGAAAAAAGTAATTTGGAATGAAAGTAATGCAAATGGAATGTATTGTAATCAGAGAACAGGAGAGAAAAGAGATGGTATTGCGAAGTGGCCAGTATTAGGACTGAGTGATATGTCAGGGTAATTATACTAAAAAAATTTTTTTTTTGCTTGATTTTGTATTTTTGTAAATATCATTGGCCAAGGTTAAAAAAAAACAAACCACAAAACACACACACAAACAAAACCTCAAAATTTTAAAAAGTGAAAAAAAGTAAGTGAAGGGTGTCTCAAAGTGGAAAACTACTTTTGCTTAACTCAACGGGACGCGTGACTTAGACTCCTGCCTTCGTCTTAGGCCCAGAAGTCAGTCTCAGCACTGCAGTTCCAGCAGGTGCTGGTCTAAATGGGTGATGCTAGTTTTTGCCCTTGCTGGGTGAGATCAGAACCACCTGCATAAACTTGGCTAATGAAGCAGAATGGAGGGGGCGGGGGGGGCAGTTTGCACTAGTGGATGTGATCTTCATCTAGGAGACAGCCAGCAGAGGCTGTGCTGTTGCTTCACAGCTGAAGCCAACATCCAGCTATGGGCTTCCTTTCTCTTCCTGTATCTAATTTTGAATTCAAAGCCAGGTTAGCTGTGGTTTAATCTGTTTGACTGGATGCTTGAATGGATTAGAAGAGACATACCCTTGAAGTCATCTCAGCTGGAGAAAGAGATAGGCAAGCAGCTAGAGCATTGCTCTAATAATTCATTTGCAGTAAATAAAAGGTAAGCTCTTCATTCTGATATTCACTGTAAATGTCACAAAGAGTGGCTAGAGGGAGTATTATGAAACCTTTGTGGTATTGTGATTTTTCTGAGGCTGAGTAACAAACTAGGCATAATGCTGGTTTCAAACCAGAGATAAATATAAGTGTGCACACAGTCCATATGATGCACAGATTTTTGTAATGCAAAAGAAAGAAGAGCTGTTGAGGGCTTCCTAAAGGATAAGCATTTTTTTCCTGAAACAGGGGTAACATTCTTTGTGTTTGCAAGTCTAGCCTAACTAGGGATTCAAGCATGCTAAAGGCACCACAAGAGCTACCTTGGTGCGTTCACCTCATATGCATAGGTACAGCATTCACCAAGGTAGTGCTTGTGATGCCTTTAGCATGCTTGAACCCCTTGGTACTCTACTCCCATAAAGATCCTAAGCATTCAAGCTCAATCTAGGCTTGAAAATTGTGGTAGAGTATTTATTTCAAAGTGCTGTACTGAATCTCTGCAGTGTTAATCATTTTTAGACTTGTAAAAATCACAGTTCCTCATATTATGTGGAAAAGATAACACTGCAAAAGCCAGTTGACATACCTTTCTCTACAGAGAGAAAAGCAAAGACAGTTATCTCCTCTAAAAGCAAAAGTACACTCTTCTTCTAAGACAAAACAGCAGGCGAACTCAAGAAACAGGTTTTGTATGGATTAATGCAATGTGGCTATTGCACTTTTTGACTTTGTCAGTTTTCTAATGATTAATATATTGGATTTCCAGATTCTCACTAAATAGTTGCCATTGCAATGCATTGGTTATTCTTGTCTACTCTCTGTAACTTTGTATGAAGGAAAAAAAAAGACTAATATTTACTTAATACAAATGTCTATTGCAGGATAACACACACCAAGAATAGCTAGTGGGATATAATATGTAATATAATATGATCTAACTGCTAGCCATCATAGACTTCGCCTTTGCTGTATTTTCCCATCCCTTCCTTAATGCCAGTTCTGGCAATCATCCTGAGTTGGGGCACTTAAGTGTGCTAGGTAATAGAAAGCTAGCCCTTTGTGAATGTGTGTATTAGAGCCCCAGACAGATGAAGTTTTGATCAGTATTGTCCTGAAACCAAATAATTCATCATGCAATTAATCAAGGCTTTTGTTAAGTGCCCTGGATGTGTGAGCCCTAATGTTTTAGGTTATCTAGTACACAGGACAGAATCATCCTGGAAAAGGTTGCTATTGTATTTAGTGAGAGTGAGGGTATTTGCTCCAAGTGTCCTCAGACAAACTAGATTAATGAAAAGAAGCCCCAAAACCCCAAATAGAAATCTTTTTATTTTAAAAGTTATTAGCATTAGAATAAGTTTTCTGAGGACAATTTTGTGTTCTAACTGAAATAACTGTTTGGCTGAAAACAGACAGTCTCAGAAGGAGATAAAACTTTATTGCCATAAGAGGGGTGACATAGACCACCAGAGCTTTCCTTGTGCCATACATATGGCTGGTGTCTGTGTATCTAAAGCCAAGATTCATAAAAAGACAGTAGGAATGTACTCCCATTCAGTTTTTCTTTCAAGTCACAGTATTCAGATAACAGTGGCAAATCGGGGGATATCAGTGCTGGTGCTGTCACCTGCCATTGACTACATGCGTTCTTGGTCAGGAAGGAAGTGACTTTACATGGCTTATTTGGAAACAAATACTGGGGCAGGTGGTAAACCTAACATTGGTGTAAGAATGATAATGACAGCAGTAAAAAAAAGTTGAAAATAAATGTGGAAAAGAGCAACTAATTTTTGTTCAGCTTGGTGATTTTTCACTTCCAATTCCTGTCTCTCTCAGAATGGAGAGCCAAACTGCCATGCGGAGGGACATCCGTAGGCTGGAGACCCCACTGTAACATCATGACAGTCAGCAAAGACAAATGTCCAGTTTTGCAATGAGCATGGGGTAACCTCATGCACTGGTACAGGCTGGAGATGGACTGGGTAGGTAGCAGTTCTACAGGAAAGGCCTGGGAGCCTGTCAGATATAAAATTGAACAGAAGTCACCAGAACAGATATTGAGTTGAACAGAAGTCTTGTGATGTGAAAGACTAGTTGTGTGCTGCACTGTGTTAGCAGGGGCAGAGAGGGGAGAAGTAGAAACTAGTGAGAATCTGATAGCAACATAAATAGCAAGGACATCTAGAGGTAATGTCTCTACTTCCAGGACAGTTGATGAATTTTTATTTAATGAATCTCTAAGGTAGAATGTTTAAATTTTGATCAGTGCATGGGTGACAATTGAGGTCTCTCCTCCTGCAGAGAAAAAGACTGACTGTTGAAGTCCTGCCCTGTTGGAGTCAGACAGTGCTGTCTTCTGTGTCTAGCGATGGTCACGTCCTCAGCCTGTCATAGACTTTGGTTTTCACTGTGTTTATTTTTCATTTTTTCAGTGAAGGAATGAGCAACTTTAAAGATTTCATGCCCATAGAATACCTCCAGGATAAAAAGTACAAACTTCATTTTCTGAGAAGTGGTCTATGAAAAAACCCCAAGGGGTTAAAAAAAGCTGTGGCTTAAAAATTGCTGTTATAGTCACAAAAAGAGTGGTTTAGGTGTTTGTCAACACAAGTAGGGGCTTGAGTTCTTGCCAGCAGAGTAAGGCGTCAAACCTTTGTCTCCACTAACCTTCAATCACTATCATGGTGTCAGCAAAATGGCCCAATATAAGGCATTAAGTCAGTTGCAGGCAAGACCTAGAAGGGGCACAGTCTACAGGATGTAGCAACCATAGCTCCACTGTTTCCTGGACCACTACATCCAATACTTTGAGCCAAAACCCATCGATGGACATAAGACAGTTCTGAGCAGCATCATTCAAGTGCAGGTGTAGTGCGTTATCCATGGTGCAGGAATGAAGACAAGATTCAGAGTATTTCTGTTTGTGCCTGTTAGCCAATGCTGTTATGTATAAATTAATGCTATTGTATATTGGGCTTTTTGCATCCTTGATTGAAATTACCTGTGATTGAAATTAAAATTGGGTTGCATAAGAGACTGGGGAGCAATGCATGTCCCATAGGAAGTGAATGAGGATGTGGTAAAGCAAGACCATCCTTGTAATGTGAATGGTTTGCATGCTGTGATTTTTCTAGTTGTTGTGGTTCTACTTCACTTCCCAAATTTGTCACAGTGGATATGCCAGTGGACGCAAAAATCTGAAAATGATTAGAAATGTTGTTGCGTCACTTCAGAACACAAGACTTGATGAGCCATTATGCTATACTTTTGCCGAAATTGTTATTTCCCTATATTTAGAAGCAGTTTGTTTTTCAAGCTGTAGTTACAGTGATCCATTTTCAATTGGGCATGAAACACTGATGAGACATGCACTGATGAGTTTCCACATACTGTCCTGAAGCTTCATGTTAATTTGTTTCACAGGGAGACTTTTGGGTTTTTTTTCTGTTTTACAGGATGTCTCAGAAGAGCTTTCCATCCTGTGTTGTAACTACATTTAAATGGAAAACTCTTCTTTGGTCACTTACTGCATACCAGCTGCAGTTGCTTAGCATTCTCTTAAGAATTCATTTTATCTAATCTGCTTGTAGGCCAGAGAAATAGGCTTTATTTCTAGTTTTGAAAAATGATTTTTTTGTTTGTTTCTTGAGGAGTATCCTAAAGAGGTATCTGTCTGTAGTATCTCATTGCAGGAGCCTTAAGAAAGCGCATTACTGGTCACATACCAGAGTGACATAATGGAGGAAAAGAAACTCTTACTTGTTGTCTTTTAATATAATGTTTAGGGTTTTTTAGCCTACACATGGTAGTTAATAATACTGATGGTAAAAAAGAAATGCAAGGCACTCCCACCCTCCTAGAAACCCCCCCAAACCCCTCTAATTTGATTAACTTCACACTGGAGACTTGAATAAATAAATAAGTACTCTGGAGAAAATACTGTTATCTTGAAGAGGAGAATGTCACAATAGATGTAGTCCTACATGACTAAGTGTATCTTTTCTTTCTGGTTTTCCCCGACAAAGTTCTTCCAGATTTGTACCTGTGATTTTGGTGCTGTAACTCAGAACAGGTCACTCTGCTGCTTCCTTGGGTGAGGACACACCCTTCCACCTGCAGCCAGTGCCACTCAGCATTGCATTTTTTTTCCCCTGCCCATTATAGGCAGGTCCCACAGCTATGCAATTGTTTTATTGTTCGCTGAGGTCCTTTAAAGTCTTCATCCTGAAGCATATGTGGGTGCCTGTATCCAGGCTTCCAAGTTTTCTGTATTAGTAAACGACTTGACTTTTTATGAATAAATTAAATGGCCCAATTAATTTTTTTTTTTTTTTTTTTTTTTTTAAGCAGAGGCATGAACTTCAGCAATCTTTTCAGGGTTGTGGGCTACACTGACATTTTAAAGCACCTATTTGGCCACAGAAATGCAGTTTGGCCAAAGCAATACAGAAATAGACTGATGATTGGCCATGCTGTACTCTAGAGTTATGACAGTAACCTTCTCCCACCTAAATGTGACAGCAGTTCACAAAGATAAGGGCACTTGTCTTGCAGGAACATTTTGAGAGTCATGAGACCTCATACACAGTTAATAACATGTGTTCCTCCCACTTGTCAGTACAGTTTAGGGCCACAGCGAAAAAGGCGATAGCTGTAAGCTGATCCCATGCAACCTAGTGTGTTATGCCCAGGACCAGCACGTTTCCCTATTTCTACTTAGGAGAAAATTAACACCAAATTAAACAGGATTGAAGTACAGGTTATGAAGAAAAAGTTAGTGTCTCAAAAATATAGAAAAAATGAAGTTTCACTAAAAATTAAAATGTTTAAATGGTGATGATTGTAATGAAAGTTCTCAGACAAGTGAGTAAGAGTACGATTCAGCTTTGGATGAGATGTTTGGAGAGACATTTGGAAGTCACTGGAAATTCTGACATTTTAAAACAGGTTTCCATTCAATATCAGATTAAGTACCACAGTAATGTCTCAATTCCTCAGTTAGAGATTTTTTTATATTGTTCAAATGAATGTTGTAAAAATGAGGAGGATACCTTCTACCACAAATTCTCATTTGTTAATATCATTATTCTGGTTATAGAAGTACAGTTATAGGCACATGTTAAAATGGCAAAAAAGCAGTAGAGTCCTAAAAAGGAAGAAGGGGTTGCCTACATATCTCAAAGGAGACAGAGAAAAATAATGAAAATAAAATTTTCATGTTTGTCATAGGGATTATGATAAAAAGAAAAAGGAATAATGTTAATTACATTATTATCATTAACAAATGGATGTTTGAATGAAAAAAAATACCATGCTGTAAGTTATGTATCTCAGTTTTTAGAAGGTTTTTAAGGATTAGCCAGATGTTAGTATTTGTACAGTAAAAATGCATGTTATGTATTTTCAATTTAGTTTACGGAACAATTCAAAATGTCTCTATCAATATCTCCCCACTCTAAATGGAAATTATTAGAGAACCTTTCCCTTCCTTAGGGCACCATGGCAGCTGTGATAAAACTCAGTGTTGAAAAGCATTCTTCCTTAACTTCCTTTGATTGCAACAGGACATTCCTTACTGAGCGTCACCTATTGAATTTTATCCCTTCTGCCATTTCAGCAAAATCCAAATAAATCAGCTCTAAACTCAAATTTCAATATATGCTTAATCTAATAAGAATCACATTGGAGAGCAGAAATCAAGAGAGATATAAATTAGAATGAAAAAATTATGTTGGTTTTTTTTTTCCCTGTAAGATGGAGGCTATGCCTTCTTAGCCTTTGCTATATGGTTTTTTGAGGATTATTATGCTTGTGATTTTCCAGTTATTGAGATAATTTTTTACAACTGAAAATAAAATAACTATATTAGTAATGTTAAACTCCTCCTTTTTCAAATAATTTCAGATATGATGAGCTAAACATCATGGTTCTATAAAGGCTTCAGCTCAGAAAGGTCAGGTCTAATTTGTACACCTGGCCATTTTACACTAAGGATGCTTTCATCTTGCTTGTGTTTCTCCCTTGATGTGTGAACTAGGGCAGAGCTAGCTGGGTTGGCAACCCTGTGTCCCTTTTTTCCTGCCTGTGCCAGGCTGTGCTTAGTGCATTGCATATGGACCTTTGGATTTTGGCAGTTCTTGAGATCCCACAGTGTAGATGTGGCCATGGAACCCACTGTAAAAATAAAACTCCTGACTGAATTGCTTCCGAATTATTTCAACTAACTATTTTCTTCAGTTTACTGAAATAGAAATTTGGTCAGACTTCAGATAGTTTTGTTTCATTGTGTCAGTTATTTAAGACTACATTATCCTGCACAATGCACCTGTACATTTTAATCTTCCTGTGAGTTCAGTGAGAATATTAAAAAGAAACAAGTTTCCAAAATAACAATAAATGTTAAATATCTTTCCAGGTTTAATCACTAATATGTTTTCCTACCTGTATTGTAATGCTTAGTGCAGTAACATAGATCCTTTTCTTCTTTCAACAGAAACTGTGGCAGGGTGAGACCTTCGGCTACTTGAACTGCTCCCTTTTCTTGCCATTCAAAAATGAGATCATTCATTGTGTATCCGACTACCAAAAAAAAAAAAAAAAAAATCACAAATAAACTCTAGGTCAGCTGCAAACTCTGAAAAGCAGGGACATACCAAATTGTGATGCCTTCAGTAAATGTCATAGAAAGGAGATCTGCTTGTACCTGTTAATCAAAGAGTGTTATCTGACATTCTATACCATACCGAACTACAAAAAAAGCCAGTCTTAGCATCCTTTGTGAAATCTTAGTACTCAGATGGTCTAGTAATGGAATTGACAAAAGCATCAAAATGAGCTAAACACCCACTTCTCTTGGGTTCTTGGGAAAATCTTACCCTCTCCAGCCCATGAATGATAAAATAGGCCCTTCACTCTCAGATCTCTTTCTCCTTTTACTTGAGGTGAAATTGTGGGTTGTCAAAGCTATGTTTATTCTTCAAAGAGAACAATGAATGAAAATTTCTGCAGGAGTGAGGTATTAGTTGAATTTAAAAAATACTTTTCTCTGAAAGTGGTACAAAACAAGGGAAAGTAATTGACTGTAATCTCATATCAGCTGACTGTGATGTGTTATGATGCTAAAAGGCATTCAGTTTTAATATTCACATTTCTGCACTTATCCGTACCTTATGCATGTGTGTATGAGATTAAATAAAACAGCAAATTCACAGTAAAAGTACTAATCAAGGGCCAGACTTTGCAAAGGGCAAGTACTTTTTCCTTCTGTTTCCCTCTCTCAGCTGAGTATTTGTACGGAATTGGGGAAAATAGCTCTACTTCCTCTGAGTATGTGGTTTGTAAACTGCCCAGTATATCCTTGGTATTTTATTCTATTTTTTTTTTCTGAATAAGTTTTATCTGAATATGACAACAGAAAAAAAAAAAAAAAGGCTTCCTATTCTCATTCAGGTTTCATTAAGAGTTTCTCAGAATCTAATAGATTTGGACAAAGTGAGATTTTAAGATTGAAATCTAAAACTACATAGCTTCTATTGTTATAATAGTTTGGACGACAAGGGTGCACTTGAGCTACATAGAATAGCTTGAACCAGAAGGAAAAGGGACTTAATTATATAGCTTTCATTCACCTGTTTTTCTGCTTTGCAATATTTCCTTTTTGCTGTAGTCCAGTGCTAATGGGCTGTTGTGGATAATATACTGATAACTGGAAATATCTTTTAACCTTTCAGTAACAAATTACTGTTCAAAGTGTATTGTTCAGAACTCTCTAAGAGTAACTGTCTGCCTGCAAATACTGCACTTTTGAGTTCCAGTGGAGGAAATAACCTCTTTGGTGTGTGGGCATAAATCTTTCCCCTGTTATAGTCAGTGACTTCATTACTCTTTGAATACATCTGTAAGTGGTAGTCAGTCATAATGCGGTGATATGCTGACCTCAAATCTGGGACACACTTCATCCTTTCTGATCTATGCTGAATGCGCCTACAAGCTAAGAATCGGTGTTTTTAAGTTTAAAACTGTTTTCAACACCTCTCCTTGCTTCTAGATTCTTGATTCTTTTGGGGAGTACCAATACTCCCCAAATACTTTTTGGGGAACACCAATACAGGGTGTTCATGGGCACTCAGGCTGACTGTTGGCTTACTTCGGTGTTTTGTTGGGGCTGGATGAATCTGCTAAAAATGAGACGATAGCTTTTTCAAGAAATATTTAATTAAGATCTGACATTACTCAAGTCATTACAAGCATATATTAACTGTGCAAGGAAACATTTTTCTGTCTTATTGAATGCATGACATTCTACAAACAGTCTTAAAATTAACTATTAAATGCCATAAACCATGAAAAAACAGAAGTATAGCTTTTCTCAAACTTTGCATGAATTCAGGCAAAAAGCAGTTGTGTGTAAAGCAGATTATCACTTGAAGCATGTAGATTGTGGCTGGAAGTGATGTCCCCTCAGTAAAACTCATTGAACTGACAAGAAACAACTGCTGTGTCAAAGTGTATTTCACTAAATCAGTCATTCACCTTTAATGCATGCTTTTAATTTTTGTTATCTACCCTACCCACTAATACTTCTATAGTGTAACCTATTAAAATTAATAGCAGTGTATGCAAAACATTGATGTTTTAATTAATTTTTATCATGTTTACATTTTAAATACCTAACTATAGCTTTAGCATTAAATAATGTAACTTTAGTTTTGTAAGTCAAGATCAATACTCTTAAAGTAAATGTGTCTTAAAATATAGAGGAGCTTAATGGAGATGTGAGTTTATGTTATACCAAAGAAATTTAAAACAGTATGATATGTATAATATTTCCACTAAGTATGCTAAATTAAATAAATTTAACTTAAATCCCTAAGTTTAGGGCCCTTTATTAAATATTAAATACATGGCCCAATCAAATGTGCTCATTGAATTAGCAAAATCTAAACTCTTGTAATAGTCTTGTAAATGGGAAAGTGAGAAAACTTAAATTATTTAAGCATATTGAACTATTTGATAACACAAATTTGTCTCTAAATTTTCTTTAGTGAGCAGTGTTAACAGGGACAGGTATTCTTGGTTTTTCCAAATGAAAATAATTCATTATTTGGTACAGTTCCAGATAAACTGATCATCTCTTTCTTTTTTCCAACTACCGTATTGTTCTTTCTCCTTGGCATGGAGAAAAGGAAGAAAGACTATGGCGGAAAGTATCTAGCCACTTGCAGAAATAAAGCAGAATCAGGGAATTTGCAAGAACAAACTGCAGCTCATGTCTTAGGCCCATCTCAGGATATCCTATGCACAAAAGGGTTAAACCGCACATTGTTCTGTGTTAGAAGGAAGAACAGTGATACTAATAGAACTAACTGTGCTTACTTAATATCTCAAAAAATAGGAAAATATTTTTGTTTTCTAATTAATTTTATGAAGAAAACCTGCTGAATAGCACAGTGCTTAACACTCATAATGCTTATGGTGTTGTGTCACTGTGCATAAGGGGAAAAAGACACTTCTATAGAAATGGCCCTTTAAAACAGTCAGTGGTTACCATACTGTAGTATATATACTATTACAGTTAAGTTGTATGGTGTTATATACGCAATGAGCCTAAAAATCAATCCTCCAGCACCCTAATTTTGGGAGCTCTGCTGATTAATGTAATTACTGTCCCTTATGGAAGTGGCTGGGGTCCCAGCAGCACGAGAAGACATCATGTCAGATTTTGAAATTACCTTAGGGCTCAGTCTCAGCAACCAAGTAGAGGCTTATGATCCTGATGTGGATAAGGCACCAAATTGCCCAGTGCCATCAACAGTGGGTTGTGGGGGCTAAGTGCACAGCAAGTAGTAGAAGCTTAGGGAGCTTAGGTAATGAAAAGTTTGAAGCCTCATGAGCAGAGAGTTATTTTTTGTACTTGGGATCCTAGAATTGGCAGTCATAAGATCTTACAGTATTGGAATTATGTGGATAACTTTAAAATCCTGATGCCATTGCCAGAGTTCAGTGGGACTATACAGATCTTTCACGCATATGTATTTGCAGTACTGAGGCCTGTATTTGCAAAATGGAAACGATTAGATGCTGCAAAAAACAAACGTCTCTACTGAAATGCATTTACCTTACTCATCTAGATGAAAAAAGCGTGCTTGTCCATCCACTGCTGAAATGAGTTTTACAGGAATAAAAGTGAAACAAGTAGATTATTTCATTGTCTGTATAATATTAGCAACTGATTAGCTGAGAAAAGGCAGATGAGAGAAGTGAGTAATGGTGCTCTCTTTGTTCCAGTTTTATGCAGCACCAGTCAATCTAACTGATCAAGCTCATAATTAAAGCTGAGTGTTCCTGTGCACAACTGCAATTAAAAATAATTGCTCTGAATGCAGTAGTACCCAAATGGTAAAATTCAATAAGACAGGTATCTTTGTGTGGTCTCTCAAATTTTGCTTTGATATTCTTGAATAATGGCAACAGTAGCAGAAAGGGCTAATTTGCTGGGTAGATATATGCAGAAACAGTTCAAACAGAATATCTTAGTGAATTATTCTGCCAATGATTGATAAATATATTACAGCTTCAATCCAGTGCATTAACTTTTAATGAATAATAAGAAGTCATGATGATTAAGGCAAAACATCTTAAACTACATTCTAGAAATACTAAATCTGAAGTCCACTTCAGTTTTTGTTTCCTATTTGGCTGCCTGTGTTACCTGATTAATAGATGTCTTCAAAGCAATTTAGAGAAAATAATTTGGTCACATAACTAAGTAAAAGTATAAATGCCTGTTGCTGATATTGGTCTGCTGTCAAAGATGAGAGATACATTGTGTATATTTTCCAAATGGCTTATGTGATAAAATATCTGAGAAGCTGTATTCCATTACACGGTTATCACTGCGCAAATGGAGCAGTGAGGCATGGTTACATGATCAGATCACCTTCTCAGCAAACTGTGGGTTTGAAGTGTGAAGACTCTTCTAAACAGATGTGCGGTTACCAGTACAAACTTGCAATATATGTGTTACATTGTTAAATATGTCCTGCGTCTTGTAAGAAGAACTGCCCTGTAATACCTAGTAGTTATTAAGAACAAGATGTTTTTCTTTAGGGATTCTAAGGGATAAGGAAAATAACAGTGTCTTTATTGTGCCATTAGGTCCATAAATACTGAATCCACAGTATGCAGCTGGCAGGCGAGTTGGCACATTCTAGGACCCTGAATTTGAGGCAATAGAGGAACCAACATACAACAATGTTATAGAATGAGGAATGATGGCCCTTGCAGTTTTTCAAGTTCAGATTCGTTTCTCGAGAAGCCCTGTCTCCCCAATGATACCTGTTTCTAGATTCTCCTCCTTTGATTTTCCATGCCACAGAAGCCCGTGACAAATGTTAATGCGATGATGAGTTTTGCAGTTTATAAATATTTTTTTTAGATTTACAAAAATAGGAAAGACAATATTTAATCACATTTTGTATGCCTCTAATGTTTCTATCAGGAGGGCACTGTATTTGATGTAGGAAAATAATTTCAGTGGCCTTCTACTCAGCTCTAAGAGTATAGAAAGACATGACCCA